AAGGGCCTCGCTGCACTACTCTTGAAAGGTGCAAAACGAGAGTGAATCTTCCGCTAGAACATGGAAAGATACAGCGACATGATTTTTGTCTTTTGTGCATTTCAAGAGTAGTGCAGCGAGGCCCAAATTCACAGGTTTTACGACTGTACTTGAACAGGATCTGTTCTGTAGGTCGTACACTCTTCTGACTCGTCAAACCAGTCCTTCGGAAGGATACAGAGAAGATTAGCATGGCCCCTGCGCAAGGATGACGCGCATGAATCGACTCGTCAAACCTGGATGATGAGAGGAGACTTCCACTGCTGAGCGCAAATGCTAGGGGGGTAGGGAGCTTTGGCTTTCACCCACCATCGATGAACGCACCCTGTGGCCTTGGCCGAGGGGTATTGCTGTGGGAGCGCTCTGATGGAAGGAAAAGAATTCACAGGTTTTTTTTTTTTTTTTTTTTTTTTTTTCACAGGTATTTTCACTCATCTGAGGGCAGGCTCACACTCAGGGCATGGTTCGGGTCGCACACTGCCACCCCAAATCCCCTAAATATGCGGATTTGGGAAAGGCGGATTTGGGGTTTTGGGCATGGTTCAGGTCGCACTGCTGTACCTTTTCGGATGGGACAAGGCCGTGTTAGAGCCTTAGAAGAATTCTGAGCATCAAGCACAGCATCAAACATGTTACGAAATGATAAAACAGATGACGGCCCGTAGGCCTAACACAAAGGACACACCACGACCAACATAGCATAGGACCTGCCAAGCATTCCCTTGTTGTCCCATCTTGCCATTCTGTAAGCCTGATTGTAGATAGCATACTTTAGACTTCTCTAATATCTTCCATCTTTTTCAAGCCTGCATTGCAACAAAAGAGCTTGTCCATTCCCTCATGATAGAGTGTCGGACAGCACACCAAAGTGTCGCCAGGATTATGATCGATGGGAACCCGAACCAGCCCCTCCAGCCGGCTCAACCAAGTCCACTCCGAAGGTATACTTACCACCCCAGTGAAGCAGTCAGTAAGATCTAGGCGGAAGAGCGAAGGAACACAAAGTCTAGTTCAAGGAAGGAGTTAGAGATCTGGCGTCGTAGCCTACCGACCACATCAGATTTGGCCGGTCTTACGATGTTGCGATTGTTTCGTAGCCAGCCCGGGGCTTCCTCCCACTCATTAATCCGAAATCTCATGTGGCCATCCTCTCTTGGTAACCCGACAGGAAGCTGGCTGCATACACAAGAAGGTTAGCGTCTCTAGCAGCATCCCGAAAGTTAAAAATCCAATCCCCGCGGCCCTACACTTCTGTTTTTTAACCAAACCACCCTCATCCGTCTTATCACCATAAGTTTCCATTCCTCATCTGCTTCAGCTTTCATGATGGCAAGAGAGCATGCCGACCTGATACCGGCCTTACTCAACGCCTCATCATAAGTAACCCTTAGAGTGAGACGCCTCCATTACAGCCAAACCTTTTTCTGATGAAACCTGAAAGAATTACCCTCAAAATGTATTACCCTCAAAATGTATGGACTCGGTTTCTCCGAAAAGGCCGTGGCCGTCTGGACAAATGGTCATTTGGTACTTCGCTGGTCGCACGGCGCCAACCACAAATAGTGCAGGAACTTTTGTGAACGAATTTTCACCAATTTTTGAAGAAAATATTAAAAAAATAAATAGGGCATTTGTGGTCACCTCCAGACGTGACCGCAAATTCCCTTGTTTGGCAAATCTGTGTGACCGGCCCTCTACCCTTTTTGGGGATTGGTGATTATAGGTCCCAGTGTCAGTATGCCCTCAATTTCACCTCACACTACCTACCTACAACTACTACTATTTTTTTTTCTTTTTCTTATTCCCCCCCCCCCTTGTTCCTTCTTGGCTGAAACTGCCCCAGCTCGGCAAAACTCGGTGCGCTGGTAGTGGTGGTTTTAAGCCCAGGTTGTCGTAAAGGTGCGATACTAGACGGATGGCAGTCACCCACAATACTCGGCCACTCCATTGTCCAGATCCGTCACCCACAGTACTCGGCCACTCCGTTGTCCAGATGAACCCCTCTGAAGACCCCACCCACCCTTCCTCTCATCTTTTTGCCCTGGCGCACCCCCACCCCCTCTGTCCTACCCTAGTGTTAACCACCCAGGACCATCACCCTTGCCATCTTGGCGGGGTGACCTGTAGCAACCAGAACCGTCTTCACGAGAGAACATGCGGGCCTTAGCAATTGAGGCGGGTGGGAATTGAGCCCACGACCTCCTGAAAGCCACTCGCCACACCACTCTCGAATCTTGAAAAAATTCAATAGCTGTCAGAACTTCTCGAGAGGGCGGTTTTCGAGAGGAAAGGGCCCTTTGCCACACAGCACACTCGACATTTTTCCTCTCGAACGTGGATCCTCTCTGTGGCCCGATTCGGTAGTGCTGTGTGGCAGAGCCGAACTCTCGAATTGGCGGAGGCCGTGCTGAGCGGAAGCCTTCCTCACTGTCAATGCACCTAACCGCAAAGATGGCTTGTATACATGCATTATCAGGGTGCGGCCGTGGTCCCAACCGCCTCTCGAAGATGGTGCATTTTTGAGAGTTGCTTTCGAGATTGCGCATTTCTCCTTCGGCGCACTACCGTCCAAACACGGCCTGACAGCTCTCGAAACGGAGCACGACCTCGAGCGCCGACGGGAGGTATCACGAAAACCACAAAGCTGCAGGCTGGGCGAAAACATCTTTTGGAGAAGGCCCTGGAAACCGGCCTTCTGACAGCTCTCGAAAAAATCCGAGGTTTTTTTTTTTCGCGAGGCTGTGTGGCGATGCCCGACTCTCGAATTTTCGAGTTTCGAGAGTGGTGTGGCGAGGCCCTAACGCTATGGGTGCTATGGGTGATATGGGTTAATCCCGGCGAGATCGAATCAGATCTATTAGAATAAGGTCAACGGGTATCCCTTGTTACGATGGGAAAAAAAAACAAAAAAAAAAAGGAGATGCAGATGATCGGCGGCCGGTGCAACGATTACACGCACAGATGCGGACAAGATTAGCATCGGAGAAACGGACAAGGATTTTTTTTTCTTTTTTCTTTTTTTTGGGAAGGAAAAGGATTTTTTTTTTTTTTTTTTCTATACTCTTCTCTCCTTTTTTTTTTTTAACAAAGGGAGGCTCTGCTCTTTTATTACACTGATGATTCCAGAACGGGGCCGGGAATTCCCCACATACAACCCGGATGCAACCACTGACAATACTGGGACCAATACCCAGCTTAGGTGCAGGCTTTGGGACACTGTGGTCTAGAGACAGAATGGCCAAATCTGGACCGCTGCGCTGACACATCCCAACCCTGGGATATACTCTTCTCTCAACTTCTGTTTCTTTACCTTCCACTACCTACTCCTAAGACTATCTAGAGGGGACCCCTGCAAGCATAGTTTCCTCTCTCTGTGAAGGGGAGATTTCATTTTGCCCCTTGCCCCTTAGGGTATAGGGTTGGGGCCGCCAGTGGGGGGGTCTGGCTAACACAAAGACCGAGACCTGCCAGTAGCTGTGCCTCCCTTTCTCATCGTCCCCCACCCTTCATCGAGTAGCAGCAGCCAATTGGCAACTGCAACCATAGCCCTACATAAAAAATAAAATAAAAAAGAAGAAGAAAAAACATAGCCCTTGGTCCACTACAGTACAGAACACGTGACATGTATCTGGACGTTTCCGTCTATCAAGTGGACTGGACACTGCGGGCCTCCTTGCAACACTCCCCATCCGCCGAGATTTTGAATGAATACGAAGGCATAAACTGTCCTGATGCATTCAGAATGCTGGAGGATGGCGAGTGTGTACTCCCCATCCGCCGAGATTTTGAATGAATCCGAAAGCATAAACTGTCCTGATGCATTCAGAATGCTGGAGGATGGCGAGTGGTGTAAC